GTCGGGTTGGGTCAACGCAAACTGCCATGACATTACACACTTAAAGTAAAAAGCAACATGTAGCTTTTCTGGATATGTTTTTTGTTCGCCAAGCGGTTTATCGTTTCTGCCCAAACACATTTGTGCATAAGAATGGACTCGTTACACTTGATCACACAAATTTCTTTGCTTGCCTACAGTAGTTTTCCTTCTTTATTTGTATATATTGGCCCACAGACGCTATCGTTCAACGCTTCTGTGGAGCCGTTTCAATCCGACTTTGTGCCAAACAGCCCCGGCATAAAGATTCTCGCATGATAAGAAAAACGTTGCCTTTTCATGGCCGAGCAGAAGAAGATTTCTTTGTTACATGCATGGCTTTTTCAGACCGGTAAGTTACAGAAGAACGCGTAGAAGCTTTCCATTTGACATATACACTTGCTTGGAATTGAGAGGTTAGCACTAAAGAAATTTGGCGTTTCGTGAGCGAAGTTGAATGATGTGAAAATGAGCAATGAAATGCAATTTTTTTAGTTCCTTTCTGCTCAAAGTTATAGGTGAGAAGTAAATTTTACGATAGCTGAAAAGCATGGCTTGCAGTATGCCTAACTTACAGATCTTGACGCGGCGCAAATAAATAGTTGTTGTACAAATGCTACTTGTACATGTACAAATACCAGATGTCTAAATGGAAGCTAGTGGAGTTCAGTTACTCTCCTGACAAGGAATGTTTCATTCTGTATGTCAGTTTAAATAGGTTACCAATTTTGCGACGTAAAAGAGCAAAAACATATATTTACGTTTTCAAACCTATCAAGACAATTAGCTATCCACCCATGTGGCACGACAGACAACTTCATTTCTGATAGTAGGCATAACTCCCACTTAGCAATTTACTACAAACTTGATTATGTCTTCTTTCAGGAAAAATCAAATCAAACGCACTAAATTCTATATAGATTAAATTGAAAGTTACAAGAAACAGTCGTATGTCGTCAAAATATGTATATTAGTAACCATAATGCGTATTGATAAGTTGAGCAGTACGTATGGCGACCTTAGCATAAAGGTAAGCCTAAATGGCTTGCCTCAAGTTTAAGAAAATAAGAACACGGGGCACAGTTTTGCTTAAGTTGAATAATCATTTCACTTGGTGTAGTTTCGTCCCCAAGACAAAGAATTGGGTTGGCGATAAGGATATATATCCCGGGATGTATATCGGGGTGGGGGAGGTGGAGGGTACTCCCTTATATGGGCTATATAGGTATGTGCGGCCCCAAAGGGTAGGGTTTTTTGATTTATATTCCCCGAGACTTCTCCTGTCTTTGACTAGTCTTTGTATCTACCTCCATAAGTCGTTCCTTCAATAAGAAACATTCTGTGCCTTCAGTTTATGTCTGTGTGTTATTATATCAGATCTACGATGAATTTGCAAGACTTACAATATTATGTTACTAAATAGTAAAGATTGATCACACTTTTGTCACCATCTGCAACATATATATATATATATATATATATATAAACGTTTGATAAAGCAAGGACGGACAACTTCTGACGGTCAAAAAAGTTAAAAAGTTAAAAATTTAATAGAAAAACGTTTCGGTCTTAGACCTTCATCAGTTACCTTTAATTATAAGGCTAGATCGGCATAACTACATGCATTTTTTGGACCCATGGCCGTGCCATGAATCTGAAGAAAGAAATTCTCCTTAAAAACAGAATGGTTGCTTTTCAAACAGATTTTTACGGTTTCTAATATGCAAGATGTAGACGGAATTTTGTTTTCCCTAGCATTCAAAGCTTTCCTAACTGCAGTAAGA